CTATCGATCGTAATAAAGAGTCAGCACGAGTCAGTAAGTGAATAAACCCATTTACTCACATAATAAATATTTATATAAATATATTAAGTAACCAGAAATAGCTTTTAAGACAAGTTTCTGATAATAAGTTTCTCACGGAAACTAAAGTGATCTGAATATACGGGAACCTACTTCCTTGCCAATAAAACACTCATTAAAAAGTCCTTCAGTGAGGCGGCCTCGGGTTACAGTTCTCAGCCACAAAAGCAACTAATTCACCACCGGAAGTTTTCCAGAACCGGGGGAAAGGGCAAGAAGAATGGGTTTGAGGTATAAGATAGAAAAACGGCCAGTTCAGTTTGCTGCATTAAACACAAAAACAAACACGCCATTCCGACATGCCCCAAAGGCTTGTTGATGTCCTTTTGATTCTCCTCCCCATTTATCCCTGACCCTTGGCCCCGTCGGCCTTGTCGATTCTTTGTCTCTTCTTGTCAATATTAATATTGAAGGAAGAAGGATAGTAAACGGAAGAAGGACAGGAGGAAACCATCTCGGTAGGTTAGGAGATGATGGTTTTACTCTTTCGCGTTTATTTTTTTTTTAAAAATAGACTTGGATTCAACTTTTATAAACTGGTATTCTTAACTGAATTTAATCTAAAGGGAGGTCCCTTTTAGGGAGATGTTTAGTTTATTGATGAAACAAGTTATAAAATATTACATTAGTATCGTACACTTTTTGATGTATTTCTTTATTTTTATCAAGATATATCTATATATTCTATATTCCTGTTTAGTTCCTCTATGAATTCTTCCTCTTTTAAATGGATTCCTGTTCAGTTCCTTTGTGAATTCCTTCTCCAAGACATCCTTTTTATAAACTTCTTGCCTTGGAATGACATAATTATCTTATTTAATTTCAGATATCTACAAAAAGCATATATATCATAGTTAATAGATTCTTGTATAATTTACCTGTAAATTCTTACTGATTGGAATGGATTCCTAATCTTTTCCTCTATGAATTCCTCTTATGAAGTCAAGAAGTCTTATCAAGTATCTATGAAATCACCTCTTAAAACGTCTATAAACTGTGAACGTTTCCTACTGTAACCTGAAGATTCCCTAAAAACTATTTAATGACAACACAGAATATTAAATATTTTCTCAGTATCTACTCCTTTGTTTCATTTGTTTACTGAAAGTTTAGAAAACTACAAAGAGGACACTTATCATAGTTTGAGAGATTCCTGAATAGTTCTTCTTTGAATTCCTCTTATATGAGTCCCTCTTTAAATCTCTATAAACCTAAAGATTCAAAATAAATGGATACTAAATTTGAGAATACACAGAATATTAAATATATTATCAGTATCATACTCTTTTGGTTGATATTTAAAGAGTACTTGTCTGTACTTTTAGAGAGTTCTTTCTCTTCTTTCAGAAGAGATAAAGATAAAGTCTTTCTCTTTTGAATGGATTCCTATACAGTTCCTCTGTGAACTTCTCCTCTATTAGTTTCTACTTATCACCACATTCCAGATTAATTTTCCTATGAATTATTTTTGTTTGAAATGGATTCTAGTTTAGTTCTAAGAGTTTTCTTAATCAACTTCATGGCTTTGGTGGAATGAAAAAATTGGGCTAACAAAACTACAAGAAGGAAAGCATATTTTTCTGCAATTGGAATACTTTTTTTCCAAAATACCCTACTAGAATCTAAAACCCTCAAACACCTATGTATACAAAGTTAAAAAAAAAAAGACTTTATTGGACTTTAAATAACTACTTGAGCCGAAGTTGACATACCCTTGCAGTTAAAACCGGATATATATCGCTAAAATCGAATATAGTTGGCCGATCCTTATGAGAATATTATAATTAAACCTATTAATTACAATACAAAATCTAAAAAAGGTCCCAAGCTTCTATCTTTGAAAATACCGGAAAGACTGACATGCTCATATCAACGCAGAAGGTGATCCTGATCAAGAATATATGTATATACTTCATGCGGTAGAAGATGCCTCCTTCACTGCATTGCACACTTTAGCACAAAATTATAAAACTTTGTAACTTGTATAAACCATATAACTTTTTTATTTTTGTACAATTATAAAGATATCGAAAGTCAACAAGTCACACCCTGTACAAAACTCACAACCTCTCATATTTGTCATCACTGATTTTAAAAGCTTTTCTAGTTCCAGCGATCAACGATAACAGCTGTCCACTCGGCAATATACAATATACAGTCTCGCCATATTCAGTCAGTCGGTTATCAAGTTTCCAGCTGTCAAGTCTAAGCGAGCGGATTAAGTATGAGCGAATCGCCTATAAATAGCTCTTCCTCGATTGCAAAAAAACGCAAAATCAGTGAAAATAATGCGGAAGATTCAGCTGCGCCCTCTTCAAGCTCCCAAAGTGTTTCATCCAATATTTTAGTCCTGGACAACGATTGCCTAGAAATAATTTTCTCACTTCTAAGCTTAAAAGCTCAGTTGAATTTTTCACGTTCCAATCGCAAAATAGAATGCATGTTCAGGAACTACGCCCAGAGGAAGTACAAACACATCACTGAAGACTTCAGCTACCACCTCGAGGCATCTGATCTGGAATATCTATTGGAACAAGTCAACGATCATGTTATCAGCTTTGAGTCACCAATTCAGCGCTTCTTCGGAGACAGGGAGCAGTTGGGGTTAGTAAGAATGCACTGCCCTACGCTGCGGCGCCTCACGATGGCTTTCACGGAAGACCATTGGGAGGACTTGAACCAATTGAAGAATTTAAACACTCTTCATGCCTCTTTACAATTTAGTAGCAATGATGTCTTCGAGAAGTTCTTCTTTAATCTATCAGAGAACCTACCGTGTCTGAGAAAGCTAGTCTTGGAAGCTCCCGACTACAATGGGGAAGGACTCCACGTGCTGGAGAAACTACAGAATCTAGAGATAAATTGCGAATTAGATGCCAAATACCTGACCGATTGCTGCATCAAGATGAAAAATTTGAACTTTCTTAAAATGGGAAGGTGCACCAAAAACCTTAACAGCGAAAACTTCTCCACGATTGTCGCGAACTGCCGGAACTTGGAAACGCTTGATTTCCACGATAACGAACTTCTCGATAATGTGGCATATGAAAGGGTTTGTGAGCTGTCCCGCCTGAAGCACCTAATAATGACCTGCCCACGTTTCATCGAGGGACTTCACCCGAGACCGGGTTTCATCGAGGGACTTGTACGTAGGACTGGCACTCCTCTAGAGAGCCTCATTCTGTATCACTCGAATCTGCGTAAGGAGCAGATAGAGCATATCTGTGATATTACTTCCCTTAGAGAACTCTGGGTAGGCAGCGAAGACGATGATTTCAGTGTGGAAGGCTTCATGAAGCTAAAGTCTCTTGAATACCTACATCTGGATATGGAAGGCATTACTAATAAGCACTTGTTGGAACTGCTTCTTGGATGCCCACGCCTACGGGTCTTGAATGTGTTATATTGTTTGGATGTTACTTCCGATTTCATTTCTTTACTAAATCTTTCTTCGAAGAAGCTTAAGGAAACCAATCGTGAAAAAATTTCAATATATTTAGATGAGTCTTCTGTGGATTGGGAAGAAAACTCCAGCTTTAAACTCGACAACATTCAAATCATAAATGGCGCTCTTTGGGAAGCTCCTATTTTAATAGAAAAGGAGCGCAATATTCTATAACAATTATCCCGACTCCGATAGCTTTTAATATAATTCAGGAGTACTTCATTCATACCTTTAGCCACCCAATTACAGTGAATTATATAAGAAGTATGAACAAACATTAATCAATAAAAATCGTAAAAATAAATAATTTTTGTAACTAAATTTTGAAATAAGGGAAATAAACCTTATCACACAAGGTTGGAAATTTCTCTGTCCGGCCTCTGCCATAGCCCCCGGGGATCCAAATCTACTTCCCCCCTTTTTACACAGATAGTCCCCGAAAATGTAGAATTTTCGTCTTAGATTGACAAATCAGCGTAAGTTGCTCTCTACATTCAGCGTATACACTGAAAACAATGGAAAACAAACTTAAAAATAATTGAATGAAAATGAAAAATATTGTCCCGACTTGTTGCGTTTTTCCTGTTAATTTTCTTTCGCTCCAGCAACATATATAATTTATTTGGGTCCAAAATAATTTCATAAGCAGCGCACTCTACGATTCGCTCAGTGCAGAAATTCGATTCTCTCATCAACACATTCTTAATTTGCTCATATCAACTCAGGAAGTGATCCTGATCAAGAATATATATACTGTAAAGGCTTGGAGATGTCTCCCTCACTGCGTTGCACACTTTTGACCAAAAAATATTAAAAAAAAAAAAATAGTTTAAGATACAAAAACCAACTCCCCTCCCCAAGTCCCTAAACAAGACAGAGTTAATGAGAATTTAATTACACTAAAATTGAATAGTTTGAGATTCATTTAAGGTTTAATTCAAACACACCTCCCATCTCCGAAAGCTTCTTAAAACCGAATTTCTTACATGTTAGAGGTCTTAGGGGGGAGGGGACCCAAAACACAGACGAAAGCATGGGCCAGAGAGGCAGCAATGCAGTGGGAGGTGCTGCTGGTGCTGTGGAGACGTCTGCAAGTGAAAGAGCAGACCGACAAAAAAAAACCCCACAAACTTGGCTCTCTCTCTCTCTCTCTATCTGTCTCACGCTCTGTTTATGGCATGGCGCTAAAAGCAACTGAGGGCCGTTGTTTTTTTTTGTTTTCTTTCAGTTCTTTTATTTTATTTTTGTGGGGACTGCTATTTATATGTATCTATTATAGCGATGTGCATGTGCTTGTTTGTTCTCTGGGCAGTAAATGTGGGCGTACAATTTTCAATTATACATTTTAGTGGTCGGCCGCATAGCCCATTGACTGAAACTGAGAGGAAAGGAGTCGGTCGTGTTTCTACTATTTTTCTAATTTAAATAAATCTATCATATACTTATCGAATTAATAATAATAAAATAAAAAACTTACCGTGGCTTAGTTAATTTTTTCATATGTATATCCATATCGCGTTCCCGTAATCCGTAATCCCGTCGTCGCCGTACATTGGCGTCTAGTTAATCCAAGGCGCTTCGATTCCCCAGCGTTATTCCAAAGGAAAGTTAAGCTAATACCTCCCTTAAGTCGAGATAATGTTGATGGTTTTCCGATTTGAAGAAAACTTAAGTTTGCGATGGTTATTAAGCACCGCATCAGTTGTTGTGTTTGTTGCTGTTGGCAGGTTGTTAGCTTTATCTTTTATTATATATTTTTTTTTATTGTAGATTTTTTATATTTTCGGTTGTTTTTAATTTGAATTTTAACATTTAACAATTTAATTGATAATTATTGATAATATTGCTCGATTCGCTGTTGGTTGTTGTTGAGGTTGCTGTTGTTTAACAAAGTTTGTTTTGTTGTTGTTTGTTTGTTTGTTTGTTTGGTGTTGCTTAAGCACTTGGGGCGCATTTAAAAAATTTGTTATTCTCATTGATTATAACCTATGAATAGTAGGGTAAATGGATTTTAATATTCAAAATTTTTTTATATTTATAATAGGTTCTTTATCTTTTTTTTTTGTAATTTGCACTTGTTTTTAGTAATCTACCTTCTCTTTTTTAATGTAATATTTTACGGATAAAGTAATTCCTTAAAGTAATCGCGTTGGTTTAAGCTTCTAGACTCCGTGGATTGTATAAATTGTTTTCTTTTTTTCGTATAAGATACTTTTTGTTAAAATGTATATGATATAGCTACATAATTATCTTCATTAAGATTTGATTGCACCGTTATAATTTAACGCACTTTTTTTTGTGAATATAAATCATTAATTGTTAGAGCTATAAGTAGGCTTATATGAATCATGCGTGTATATGTATTAGCTATTGGAAGGCGGACTTATAGTAATTAGCTAATTTCTGCTCGATAGGTTCACCTTTTCATATTCTTGTTTTTTTTTTATAAAGCTAATAGCTACGATATCGTTATAATTCAATTGATAATAATCGCTTTGTTCTACTATAAGGTTAACTTTTTTCTTATTACTAATTTATGCTTGTATTTTTTTTTTTACTTTTTATTGCTTTTATTTGAGGCGATTTTAATGGGGGTTTTCTGAAAATATGAAAAGGTTGAAAATAATGCTGGGAATAAAGGAATTCCAAGTCATCAAAAGTTCGTCTAAGATCTAGCCCTTGATATGATCACGGTTTAGTGTCGATAGCCCACTAGAGAACCCATTAAGATACAATGTTGTTCAAACCCTTGAGATTTGTATTTAGTTTTCCAAAATATTCTCCTCTTACGACATATCCTCTCTCTTCCAGCTGCGACAACAGAACGCCACAAAAATAAAAAAAAAAATAAAAACCACATGCAAGGACACACACACACATGCGCCAGCTCTCTCTCTCTCTCTCGCTCTCTTTATCATTGTTGCTCTGCCGGCAACAGCTGTTGATCGCAATTGCAGTACTGAGCTGCACTGCACTGAGACACACACACACACACAGAGTTGATGGAAGAACAGCAGGTGTTAAATATAAAATCAAAAATGTACATATCATAAAAACACCAGATGAACGAGAAAATTATCTTGATACTCTCCGGAGAAGCTTCGTACTGGTTGCTCTTATTGTTTTTGTTTTTTTTTTTCTTGTTTGTTGTTGTTCCTGTTGTATCTCGAGCACATTCATTCATTATATGTACAAGTGTTGTTGTTGTTGTTGCTCTTGTAGGAGTAACCAAAGGGCAACGCACCGCTTCAAAAAAAAAAAAATTGTTCCTTTGCTTTTGCCGAACAACAACAATACAAACAACAAGAGCCAGCAGTTCCGTTAGCCGCAGCGAACGTGCGAACAATGAGCGAGAGAAAAAAAAGGAAAGACAGAGACGGAGAGCAACACAAGCACACGGTAGAGGAGGTTCAAGTGCCGTTTGAAAAATTGACAATAAAAAACGTTCCGAACCGAAGTCAATGCGCATTTCACTTTTTTCGCTTGCCTCTTGTTTGTCTCTTCTTTTTCGTTTTCAAGTTATATTTTTTTTTTTTCTTCTTCTGTTCACTCTGGTATAAAAATGAGAAAGCGAAATTGTTGTTGTATTTGATCTGTTGATTTCTTTTTGAATTTGTTTGTTGTTTTTATATTTATGTACATATATTTAATGATTTGCATTGAAATAGCGCGCCAGGGAGGACATTTTATAAATATTTTCCATTATATTCACTTTTTTCACGGATGGAACTTACATACATACGTTTTCAACATTTCGACTACATTTGCTTTGGCTTTTGCTTTTTCTTTTACTTTGCTTTTGATTTTGATTTTGCTTTTTCTTTACTTTTGCCTCTGAACTTTGCACACTGAAAAAACATTGATTGCACACTTCATTTATAATTAAAGCACTTTTATTGGAGTAGAATTAGAGGTTTTCGCGTATGCGGCGCGTCGCGGTTGCTAAATGGGAATTTATGCGATTTTTTTGGCAAAATTGTTTGCCATTTTTGTAATTTCGATGCGACCGCTATGAAATCCAAAACAGAGTGAAGAGTTCAGCCGAAGCTGAGCAGGCCAACGCAAGAGAGAGAGAGCCAAGAAAGAGAGGCACCAAGAGAGAGAGAGAGAGTGTGAGCATGCTCAGGGAGAGGGAATTGTTGTTGTCAATTAATGTTAGTGTTGCCAATACATTGGAATTTGAAACCGTGCGAACAACAAAAAGGGAAAACGCTACTGCGGATCTTCAGGTCCGGATGGGAGATTGTTTTGAAATTTGAATTCATGAATCAATAAAAATTAGTGACGTTGTCACTGGTTTTTCATACCGTGATTTGTTTGTCAGGGGAGTGGGTAGCTGTGGGAGTAAGTTGGAAATAGAACTTTGGGGCGAGAGTCCAATTGGATGAGTCGGCGATCTGTATCTTACAGGATATCTCTTAAAATAGGGAATTTTCTACTGAAAAAGGTTAAAATCTTTATAGATTTATCTACATTGGGGGTTCTATTGAAAAAACTATACTTTTAATTTAATAGAATTGATCCATTTCTTTTGAAAAAGTTTGCGTGGCTAAATGTATAACTAGTTTTTATGGTAAAAAGGTCTATCCGAGGGGTTCCGGTTTTGGCATTTGCATCAAATTCGATTTTTAAATATTTTCATAAATGAATATAAAAAATTACTATTTTATTTAGAAAGATTCAGTTTATAAAACTTCACTAGCCTCATATTATTCATTAATATAATTCAGTCTGATCGTGAGTAACTCTTTTTATCTATAGATTTCTTTAGTTTGCATAAACTTTAACGTTGCGGTTAAGATTTACATATATACTTATATATATATAATCGTATGTACGATTGTTTGTCAACAAAAATTTCATCAGACCCCAAGATGGAGACTGGGATTTTAGTTCCAGTACGGTGCCTAATATTTGATTATTTGTTTTTCTGGGCGAGTGGACTATTGGAATGTCGGCTTTCAAACAATTAAGAACTGTTCTTATCAGAATTGCCTTGAGGTGTGTTTGCTGCCCCAAGCTCTCTTTTCTATTCTTTTATTTTAGTTTTTTTTTTTTTGTGTTCCGCTCTCCTTCGTCATCAGCTTGTTTTTTTTTGAATTTTTCGTCGAAATCAAGTATAAGTAACGGAATCGTGGGATGATAAGGAGGGTGGGCTGCTAAAAAAGGCTGCTAATTTTTGACTCTAGATAAGTTCTATTCGGTGCATACACCTAAATAATAAATTAAATACAAATTGAGACAAAAACAAAAACCGAGCCGACCCATCACATCACACACACACACAAATGCACCCAGCGCCAAAAGAGCGCGTCCGTCTGGTATTTGACGTTTATTACTTCGCAGTTCTTTTTGTTGTTGTTGTTGTTGTTGCTGGTGCTGCTGTTGCCTCTTTTTTTATTCTGCCTTTGCGCGCGAATTCGCTGCGCATAGCAAATTAAAATTAAAAGTTTTGCGAGAGAGAGAGCAACAAAAGCAAAGCCAGGAAAAACCAAAATTAATTTCTTTTCTTTTCGATTGGTGGGGTCAGGCGGGGGGCATATGGGGGAGGAGAGAGCACTGGCTGGCTGGCTGACTGACTGACTGGCTGGAGAGAGGCAAAAGAAAGAGAGTGAAGGCGAGAGACCCATGACGAACTTTTGACACATTTGGCTGTGCTTAACCAATTTTGTTTATAACATTTGGCTTGTTTTTTTTTTGGTTTTTTTGCACTTACCTTTTTCTGCCAAGCTGCTGCGACTACAACTTAAAATTTAGTTGTGGGCAAATTAAAAAATGTTTTAACATTATTTAACACAAATACGCACACATTCACCCATTTTTCAGTGTAGTAATTTGTTGTTGTTGTTGTGATGGTGGTGGTGGTGGTGGTAGTGGCGATAAAGCCTTGTGGTTGTTTCGTTGGCGGTAAATTGTTGTTGTTGCTGCTTCCAGCATTTTCAGCGATTGCCGACCGATGCACTTTTCACATTTTATTGGTCAAGTTTCTACCATTGTTTTATTTTCTATTTTGTAGTTAACATAAAAAACGTACGCGAAAATGCAATCAAAGTCGCTGGTACACGCACACCATCAAACGATTGCACACACACACACACACACAGCAACTAGTGTAATTCTGCTGTGCGAAAGGGAGGCACAGAGCGCTTATGAAAAATGTTTGTGCAAGTTTCCCGAAAAGCGATTTCCACCGGAAAATCTTCACTGCACTCGCATTCCGGGCGGCCCCGTTAGCCTCTTGGTCACTTAATAGGTTTAGTTTGCATTGTTTTAAATGGGGTTTTAAATTATATTTAGTTGCGTGTTTTTTGTGGGGAAGTGAGCACGAAAATACACATATCTAGGCCTAGAGGTGGGACTTTCGGTTCAAATGTATATATGTTTGCTTGTATATATAAATAAAGGTATGTGTATATTTTTACACGGGGGCTATCGTTATCGGATTTATTATCGAATTTTTTAATTTTTGTTTTGCTCTTAAGATTCTTTTCCCAACAGCGATCTGGTAGTTTGCCCGCAATTTCAAATAAGACAAAAATGTTAATTATGATAGAGCAGATGATGTTGGAAAATCATTATTTATTCTTATAGAATTAGAAGAATTTATGTAAATTAATACCCAATCTAAAATTAAAGAAATAGCATTATTTAGAAACCTTTTGTATTGTTTAATTTGAACTATAAACTGACACGGGGTTTGAACAGATAGCGGTTAATAAAAAGTCTAAATTATAGACTTAACTGTGTAGATATGGGGATAAATTTTAAAAATACCTTTGTTTTTAATCAAGGAAAACGAACAGCTGATTTGAAATTAAGGCAACTGCTGTTATTAAATACTCTGGCAACGTTAGCGGCCAAAAAACAACAACAGCCCCGATAACAATTAATTCTTATCGATGATTTTATCGAGATTTCCCACCTCTATAAATAGCAGCTGGTTCCCACATTGGGGTTCGAGTTGGTTTTTCGTGGTTTTTCGTGCTATTTATCAGTGCGCACCACTATCTTGTTCGTTATTCATTTACCCGGTTCGTACATGACCGGTCCGCGAGAGAGCCGGAGAGATAACTGAGCGCACCTGAAAATATCTTTGTATCTTGTATCTTTTGTATGAGTTTTTAGGAGTGATCGGCTTCGGACGTAAACAAAACAGTTTCGCGTTTTAACTAGCTATTGCGTTTGTCTCAACCATTAAGTATTTACATAATTAGGCGCAAAACAACAGAATGACAAACACCGATGTGCGGAAGAGAAAAGTAAGACAAAGTTCAAAGGGTGAAAAACAGCATTTGTTCTATGATCATTCATCGAAAACATTCATTCACACACACACTAACACACACACGTATAGAAAAGTGCCGACGAATCAGATTCCTGAAATTGTTGCTCTTTTGACGCGGAAGTTGAGAACTAAATGATTCGTACACCCATGAAATTAATTGTTTCGAGCCAAAAGTTGAAAACTATATTTAAAAAAATAACAATGTAACTTGATGAAATAAAACTAATTGGAGGAGGAGCAAGTTTTTAGGGGAAAATCTTTCTAAATGTTATATCCTTAATAAAAATTTTATTAAAAAACTCCCTCTAAGCTTAAAACACGTATCATCCACATAGCTTTTGTTTTTCTGATATGCAAATTAGTATTTAAATAATAAACATGTGCCTGGTACGACCTGTGGTGTTATAACATTTTGAAGCTTTCGTGGATTAGTTTTTCTTAATTTTTTAATCGTATCACCAACGAACATTTTGTTGAGGATCACATTATCCGACTTTCTCATTCGCAAGGTCATTTGGGGGCTAATACGAAACAAAAAAAAAAAAAAAACATCAAACAGTTCACGCGATTAAGTTGGCATCTATTCCCCACATCTAGCCAGACAACTTTTTATTTGCTGTCTGGGACCCCGCACGGATACACACGACATTTTGGGGGATCGTGGGGATCTGTTAGATTGCACTTCGAGTGGGCGGTGGAACAGGATGAACTATCATCAGCAGGGGGAGAAGCGCCGGAACAGGTTGCAAGTGAGTGCGAACGTGGCACACTACTCCTCCCACTTGATCCAAATTATCTTTATTGTTACACTTGCCAAAAATCAAAGCCCATTTTACTAATATTTTTATCTTAAAAATGAGTTTAGATAAGGAAAAGGTCATGTAATGGCAATATAACTTCCAATTCATGAAATTAAATTATCAACGAACAGGGTTATCTTTTGGTTTTAAGACGATTTTCATTTATAGATAAATATTGAATATCATTCTTGGTTCCTTACTCATCGTTAATCGGCATTTAAAGCAACCACGTCCCCGGTTATCAATTGATTTATTGATTAGAGAACCGTGGGCCCCGACACAGATGTGCTTTACACCCAGAACGTTAAATATTTCAGATATTCGTACATACATATTTGTTCTTTTTAATAATTACCCTCACGTTTTGTTTTTAAAATAGTATACTAGAGAAGATAATGGATTCCCCCCCCTAATTGTTTGTCTAGTTAACAACCAAATTCCATTAGGTTTTTAAAGTATCTCTAGGTTTCTTTTCATTATTTGGCTCTATTTTTACGTCAGACTGTAGCCACTGAAGGAACATTTGTTTAAATAATGGGAATTTCGTCAGTTTTGTTTGTTGCCCTGGCCCAATATAATATTTAATCAAGCTAAAAGATTGTTGTTATTGGGTGCTTAGACGTTTTCACCTTATCGTTGTCATATCGCTCTAAGGTTATATGATAAGAAAGTCTATTCTACTGTTTCGCGTCCTACTGAAAATTGTGTAATTTAGCATGACTTTGAACTTTGAGAAATGAGGTTTTTTTTAGAACTTGAACTAAAAGTAGTATATATCTAGTACATATCTTAAATTTAATATTTCCAACGGCATAAGCGGGCTAAAGTAACCGGCATTATTGCCAAAGTGGCGTTATACCTACATCGCCTTTGGTCACACTATTCCTTTAAAGTTCCCTCAACTAGGGAAATTTTTTACCCATTTGGGAAATTTGTTGATGTTACCAAATAAAGAAAGGGGGCGGTGAATGCGCAGATTATTTCACGCCGCATGTGCCCCATGTCTAACGGTGGTATAACACAACAAAATAAACAACAACAAAGTCAAGTTGGCAAATTTTCGCAAATTGCTTTTCAATTGGCGGACCTGGCGATAAAAGCCAAGAAACCCCAAAGAAAAATGACTATAACGTAATCATTGACGTTCCAACAGATAACAGTCACCGAAGTGGGCGGAAGGAAGCAAATATTTAAAAAAAAAAAAAAGATCCAACAAAACAGCTGCACCTGTGTTGGCGACAAGTCAGCTACATAGGCAGTTATGCATAAATATTGTGACCCGAAAACAAAGTCGAGCCATGAAATACGAATATAAGCTGGTAGAGAAACATTTATTATTAAGCTCGATATTTGCATATATATTATATATATATTATTAAAATTCTATTCTTTATTAAAATTCCAGTTGGCCACCGATGAGAAGCCGCCACGACGAAAAGGCAGCGCTTCTCCCAATGGCGGCAACGGAGGAAATCGTGGCGGTACCAGCGGCCTCAAGATCTCATTTCTGTGTCTGATCATATCCGTGATCCTTCTCCTCTTTGTGTTCGGTGTGTATCGTTATTATTATTGTAATAATACTCCTGCCCCAAGAGTGCTAACTAAATCCTCTGACTTCCCCACTGTTACTGTTCCCTACTTTCATGTGGAACCTCATTTTCCGCCGCCGCCACCACCTTCGACATCGTCCCCACATCGTGCCGCCTTAAAAAAACCAACAACCAATCCACAAACTTCAGGCTTTGTATCTGAGAACGCCAGTCCATACCTCGCCCGTTTGGCCTCAAAGTTTGGATACAGCAAGGTGCAATATGCCGCCATCATCGATGCTGGCTCGACTGGCAGCCGGGTTCTTGCCTACAAGTTCAATCGCAGCTTCATCGACAACAAGCTGGTGCTGTACGAGGAGCTGTTCAAGGAGCGCAAGCCCGGACTAAGCTCCTTTGCTGACAATCCCGCCGATGGTGCCCACTCCATTAAGTTGCTTCTGGACGAGGCTCGGGCCTTCATCCCCAAGGAGCACTGGTCGTCCACGCCGCTGGTCCTGAAGGCCACTGCCGGTCTGAGGCTGCTTCCCGCCAGCAAGGCTGAGAACATTCTGAACGCTGTGCGCGAATTGTTCGCCAAGTCCGAGTTCAACTTGGACATGGACGCCGTGGAGATCATGGAGGGAACCGACGAAGGCATCTTCAGCTGGTTCACAGTCAACTTCCTGCTGGGACGTCTCTCAAAGACCAACCAAGCCGCTGCCTTGGACTTGGGAGGTGGCAGCACACAAGTCACCTTTTCGCCAACCGACCCCGAACAGGTGCCCATTTACGACAAGTATATGCACGAGGTGGTGACCTCCAGCAAGAAGATCAACGTCTTCACGCACAGCTACCTCGGACTGGGTCTGATGGCCGCCCGACATGCCGTCTTCTCGCATGGCTACAAGAAGGAGGACACCGTCCTGGAGAGCGTCTGCGTGAATCCCATCATTGCCAATCGTACATGGACGTACGGTAATGTCCAGTACAAGGTCAGCGGCAAGGAGAACGGAAAGTCCAGTGCCGAGCAGCCCATTGTCGACTTTGAAGCCTGCCTGGAGCTGGTGAAGAGCAAGGTGATGCCACTGGTTGAAGCCCAAGCCGTTCACCCTCAAGCAGCATACAGTGGCAGCGTTCAGCTACTACTTTGAGCGGGCCATTGAGTCTGGTCTGGTGGATCCTTTGGCAGGTGGAGAGACCACTGTGGAAGCGTATCGCAAGAAGGCCCAGGAAATCTGTTCGATTCCCAACGATGAGCAGCCTTTTATGTGCTTTGATCTCACATTCATATCCACACTGTTGCGCGAAGGATTTGGTCTTAACGACGGAAAGAAGATAAAGGTGGGTTTAACCTTTTCTTATTATTTTTTAAAATAATAAATATTCATGTTTCATTACAGCTTTATAAGAAAATCGATGGCCATGAAATCTCGTGGGCACTGGGATGTGCTTATAACGTCCTGACTAGCGATGAAAAATTCAGTAATTCCTAACGCTCCTCCATAGTAGTCCATAGATGATGATATAGCAAAAAAAAAATGATAATTTTTAAAACGATTGTTAGCTGAAATTGTTTATATAGAGTGCCTTAAACGTGCATCGAGTATACTATTGATAGAGACCCTCAAATACACTCAGACATTGCCTATATCTACATACCTATGTGGTCGATAAAATTTAGTTTGTGCTCTGTACAATTTATTTCAATTGTCTCTTAATTGAAGCTGGAGCTGGATGGTGGACTGGACTGGCTGCTCTAACCCATACACTGTGACTGCACATAATGTTTAGTTTGTAATTCCAATTTTGTGTGATTCATACATATATTTTGTGTCGTGGGGCCGCCTTTTTTTTGGCCTTAACTCTATAACTCTACACTGGATTCCTCTTGTACATAACTTTACACCTCGGTTTATATTAATACGAACTATGTAAGCCAGCCTAGGACTTTAGAGAGAATATTTCTATTTGTTTTTCCATTTTCCACATATGCAAATGTTAATTTAGTTATTTTTTGCAAATCAATAAAATGTTAACGAATCTTAATTTTGTTTCTATAATAGATTACTTTATTTTAGTATTTAAAATTCTGTGTAGAGACAAGGTCTTGTTGTTGGAATTTTGGTAAAAAACGATTGGGGGAGGAGAGGTCTACAAATAAACTAAAACAAAGGTTCTCACGACCTCGCCAGTATCTGTGGCTTAATGCCTAGCCGATCTATAATATACTGCGGCATGCATAGCGTTGGGTTTATGGGCTTCAAGCCGGAATGTCCAAGCAGCGACAGGCCACCGATGCCAAACAGGGTGTGGAATATATCGGGCATGTTGCCAGTGCGATCGGAGAAGCCACCAGTTTCCAAATCCTGGCAAGAGAGGATGAACTGCTGGAGCTTCTCGGAACTGATCCAGTGCAGGCGACCCATAATGGTCAATGAAGCGAGCACCCACCAGGAGTAACAGACGTCAGGCAGCTTTTCCGGCCGGCCGTTAAGACCGCCTGACGGCAGCTGACGCTCGCACAGCCACCAGCCCAGCTTGTCCACGTCCAGGAGGTGCAAACGATTCGTTAGCGAGAAGAAACCCACGCAGCAGTAGATGAGGCCTACAATACAGAATTTATTAATCTTTGGATTGAGCTCCATGGTTGGGTAGTGACTAACCTGCATGCGACTCGGCTCCCGGCTTGGATCCAAAACCACCATCTGTCTGATTGCAGCAGGATAGTACGAACTTGACCGCCTTCTCCACATCAATGCTCTGCTCCAGGCGCTGGAGCAGCGTCAGTGTGGCCACGGCACAGAAACTGAATCGAGTGTCCACTTCGCCCCACTTGTCTCCGAAGAAACTGCCGTCCGGTTGCTGTAATCCTACGACGAAACGCACCACAGCATCACAATCAATCTCATCCAGAGCATCGTAGGTGCACAGGATTTGCACCGCCGACAGGGTATACAACAAATGGGGATCGTGACCCTCGCAGGGAGAGAATCCTCCAGTGGTGGGGCACTGACACCGCTTCACAAAGTCAATGATGAACTTTCGTTCCAAGCGATCCAGCTGACCCATTATGTCCAGGGCAGTGGTGCCCCAGTATATGCCCGACATGCGCAAGAACTCTGTCATACAGTATTCGTAGTCGTCCTCCTGTTTTCCATGATTCTCAATGTACTCGACATGCTTCCAGAACTGCAGAGACTTGTTGCTAGCTTCGGCATCGCCACCTCCGTTTGTGGGCTTAACGAAGGTCGTGAAATCCATCGCTTATTGCTTTCAATTGGTTCGTCCTCTTCTCGGTGCTTGATTAAATGAATTAATTGTCGGGAAAACGGTGGAACACAGTTTTTGGGAGAAACGCAGCTGATTCATCTTTGCGATAGTTGGCAACGCGGTCAATTGTTATCAGTCAGCTGTTCGCTTCCGAGGCTTAACCAGGGGGATGGCATATATTGGCAAAAATAATTTGATTTGTTTGTTAAATTTATTTATATTACCAGGTTTTTACCACGTCGGTCTATTGTATTTTTTGCATCCTTGATTTTGAGAAGTATTTGTGATAGGGTCCCTATTGTACTTATTTTTTGCATCCCTGGTTTTGTGAAAGGGTCTCACTGGCCGCGCTTTGTCGAATGCTATTTTTCGAAATTCTTTTCCTGCTAATGGATTTAATGGAAACGAACAAGGATTTAAATATTGGCGATCAGTTTCCCATCTTCGAGGCCGAGACCAATGAGGGAGAGATCGATTTTTACGAATGGATAGGGAATAGCTGGGCTATCCTGTTTTCCCAGTAACTCACGACTTGTTTCAGGTACAAAAATTATTTATTTCGCTTTCACTTACTCTTACAGGTTAATTTTTGAAATCTGGGCTGGAGATCGTGTGGTACACATGGCAACGTCACTCTTCTAATAAGGAGAAGAGCCTTTCCCTGTTTTTGTTTATGCACTGCCCAACAAAATGGGGATAATATCCACCCCATACTCCTTAGAGCCAAGGCCAACCTACCTCGTCCTCATCCTCATTTCATACTCTAGTAGTGGGTCTTTGGGTTTAGGTACAAAAATTATTTATTTGGCGCATTTTTCTCACATTATTTTTAAGATAAGTTTAATTCTTTGAGCGTGCCAAAGTGTTGGGCTATAGTTTTTGGGTTGTTGCTTTTCTCCAAAGGGTCTCAGTTCCTCAATGTACTGCATAGCCTCAGAATCCGGCAGTTGGTCTGAATCATGGCAGGTAGATGAATATGAAATTAGTTGCACATCCCGGGTACCTGAAAGTTGGGCATCAGGTAGCAGGCTACCTAGCCTTTCAGATGCTAGTTTCCGTTTCTGCAATGGCCTGGTCTTGGTCCCATGCAGATTGAATAAAAAAATTTTTTTTGCATTCTGTTATAAAATTAAATGAGCTTATGTGTATTATTTGCATTAATTCGGGCCTTTATAGTGTCTGGGAGTTTCTTAAGGTCTTAGCAAAAAAATAAATTTAACCTAATGAGTTTATTGCGTAATTTAATGTTTGTTTATACTTCTTAAATATTTCACTGTGAGTTGGGCTGGCTGCAGGTATTAATGAAGTAATCCTGATTGATATTAAAAGCTATCGGCGTCGGAATAATTTTTATGGAATATCGAACTCCTTTTCTATTAAAATAGAAGATTTTAAATAGCCATTTATGATGTGTATGTTATCAATTTTAAAGCTGGAGTTTTCTTCCCAATCCACATAAGAGCCATTTAAATATATTGTAATTTTTTCACGATTGGTTTCCTTAAGCTTCTTCGAAGAACGATTTAGTAAAGAAATGAAATCGGAATTAATATTTGGGCAATCTAACACATTCAAGACCCGTAGGCGTGGGCAACCAAGCACCAGTTCCAACAACTGCTTATTAGTAATGCCGTCCATTTCCAGATGTAGGTATTCAAGAGATTTTAGCTTCATGAAGTGTTCCACATTGAAATCATCGTCTTCGCTGGCTACCCATAGTTCTCTAAGGGAAGTAATGTTACAGATATGCTCTATATGCTCCTTACACAAATACGAGTCAAATACAATAAGGCTCTCTAGAGGAGTGCCAGTCCTACGTACAAGTCCCTCGATCAAACCCGGCCTTTCAAGTCTTTGAAGTACCACTAGTAAGTGCTTCAGGCGGGGCAGATCACAAACCCTTTCGAGTTCCACATTATTGAGGAGTTCGTTATCAGGTGAACTCAAGCGTTTCCAAGTTCCGGCAGTTCGCGACAATCGCGGAGAGGTTTTTGTTGGTCAGGTTGTTGGGCCACCTTCCAATTTTAAGAAAGTGCAGATTTTTCATCTTGATGCAGCAATCGACCAGGGATTTGGCATCTAAATTGCAAAAGTGACCTATCTCTAGATGCTGTAGTTTCTTCAACACGTGGAGTTCTTTCCCACTGTAGCCAGGAGCTTCTAAGACTAGCTTCCTCAGACACGGGAGATTCTCTGATAGATTTAAGAAGAACTTCTCATAGACATAAAATATTCTAAACTGTATAAAGGCATCAAGAGTGTTTAAGTTCTTCAATTGGTTCAAGTCCTCCCATCCGACTCGCATGAAAGTCATCCTGAGGCGCCGCAGCATAGGGCAGTGCTTTCCTAGTAACCGCAACTTCTCCTCGTCTCCGTAGGAGGGTTGCGATAGTGACTCATAGCTGATCACATGCTCGTTGACTTGTTCCACTAAATATTCCAGATCAGATTCCTCGAGTCTATCGGTGATGTGTTTGTACTTCCGCTGGGCGTAGTTCCTGAACATGCATTCTATTTCGCGATTAGAACGCGAAAAATTCAACTGATCTTCTAAGCTCAGAAGTGAGAATATTCTTTCTAAGCAATCGTAGTAAAGGACTAAAATATTGGACGAGGCTTCGGATGGAACTCTTTGGGAGCTTGAAGAGGGCGCAGCTGAATCTTCCGCATTATTTTCACTGATTGTGCGAATTTTTGTACTCGATGAAGAGCTATTTATAGGCGATTCACTCATACTTATTCCGCTCGCTTGGACTTGACAGCTGGAGACTCGATAACCGACTGACAGGTTATGGGGAGACAGCAATATGACCGTATTCTGTATACTTTGTGGAATAAAAGTGGGTACTTTCCCTTTTTATTTGTATATTGGACAGCTTTTATCGTCGATTTTTGGAACTAGAATAGCTTTTAAAATCAGTGATGACAAATATGTGAGGTTGTGAGTTTTGTACAGGGTGTGACTTGTTGAGTTTCGATATCTTAATAATTGTACAAAAATAAAATAAAAAAGTTACATGGGCTTTACTTAGTTAAGTTTTTATACCCTTGCAGAGGGTATTCTAATTTTGAGAACTAATAAAGTTCTCATAACGATCGGCCAACTATATCCGATATTTGTGATCTATATCCGATAAAATAATTCAACTCGCATTGGGTCTATTGTATTTTTTGCATCCCTGGTTTGGAGGAGTAATTGCGAAAGGGTCCCACTGGCTCCCCAGCTGACTTCAATTTTTGCGGCACATTGTAGTAAGCTTTGCTTTATTTTTCGAAATACTTTTTCTGCTAATATGTCGGACAAGGCTTTAAATATTGGCGATCAGTTTCCGAACTTCGAGGCCGAGACCAATGAGGGGAAGATCGATTTTTACGAATGGATGGGGAATAGCTGGGCTATCCTGTTCTCCCATCCGTCGGACTATACTCCCGTATGTACCACGGAATTGGCTCGTGTTGCATCCTTGGTTCCGGAATTCTTGAAGAGGGGCGTCAAACCAATTGCGTTATCCTGCGATACGGTTGAGTCGCACCAAGGATGGATCGAGGATATCAAGAGCTTCGGCAGTAAGTTTACAAAACATGGTTTGATTTCAAATCTTATGACTTTACGTGTCCTTTTAGAGCTCAGAAGCTTCGATTATCCCATCATTGCCGACGACAAACGTGAGCTGGCTGTGAAGCTCAACATGCTGGACAAGGATGAGCTCAACGCGGATGGCATTCCCCTCACATGCCGTGCTGTTTTCATAATCGACGAAAAAAAGAAGCTGCGCCTGTCGATCCTTTACCCGGCGACCACTGGTAGGAACTTTGAGTAAGTATTATAATATAGTATTCTAGAATTATAATAACCCCCACTTAATGGTTGAATCACCAACTATCCAATTAATTTTAAACTATACCTTTTCGTTTTGATAATTGCAGTGAAATACTTCGAGTTATAGACTCACTGAAGTTGACGCAAACGAAGAGCGTGGCCACGCCAGCAGACTGGAAACCGGGCACCGATTGCATGATCCTGCCAACAGTAAAGACCGAGGACATTTCGGAACTCTTTCCCAATGGAGCCGTATGTGTTGCAGTGCCTTCTGGCAAGTCTTATCTACGATTTGCACCCCAACCATAGGCATAATTACCTTTTAAACATGACTTTATTACAAAAAAATATTAAAATACAAATTAACAACAAAATAATGCACAAGAGACTGTTCACATACAACCATAATTACACGGGAGACACTTTAAAAATAAAATAAAGCGTCTGCTGTTGGAAAAATTGTACAAGAAACATTTTGCTTACAAACTAAATCAGATGTGGGGAATGCGTTTTGCAGTACAAAATAAATATACAAATAATTTTAGCGAATCGATAAAATATAGTAAAGACATTGCAACTGGATAACCGTGGGGTTAGGATTCTACAAATAAGGCCGACTCTGTACAATAACCGAATAATGCTTTCGAGGATAGATGAAAGCTAAAGACCAAGCTTGTGCCCGCAACCAAAGGAAACTGAAATTAGAATGAAAATATTATTAAATTTAAAGTAATTTCATAAACAAGCAAGTCTTAATTTTATAAGAAACATAAACAGAAGAGTAGGGCGCAGCTTTCTCTTCTAAGTGTTTCTGAATATGCTAATGAAATGCAAATATTAGGAAATGTTAAGTAAAAGTTATCGCCTATAACCGGTTTTTATTTAATTTGAATATTTGCGGGAATTCCTCGGGAAATATGTGTTGTTATTGACAAACTGATACAAAATAATAAGACATTCTGAATAATATACTATATTCTGCCTAATCATTCCGATTTATAGCCTTAATTTAACGACTAACATAAATCTTGTACTCACATTTTAACTAACTATTGCCCCTTCCGCTAGTTGATAAGGACGTTGGCGTCAGCGTCTGCGTTGTGGCGCTGTTTGGAGCAATCCCGCGAAGCGTCGCACCACAAAAGGCCACAGGATCAGAATGGCGAACCATAGGGGCGAAATATTTCTGAAAGGCCACCAAGAAGGCTGTGAACTTTTCCACGCTTCTCGCTTTGAACTTTGGCCGCTGGGCAGCTCCTTAACCGATTGTTCGAGGCTCCTGACCCGCTGTTGCACTGTTCCCACGTCGCTGTTCATCCGCGAGATCGCTGTCTGGATCTGTTGCAGTAGCTCCGTGTTTTGGGCAATCGCTTGGGTCAGCTCGTGGCTAAGGTCGTACGGATCATCGTATTCATCGTCCGAGGGCTCTACAATCGCCACACTGCTATTGTTCGTGTAGTTGTGGGGATCGTGTGCAAAGTTATTATGCTTTCCAGCATAGCCATTGGTCAGTGGTGCAGCTATGTGGCCATTAGTTATCACCGCCTCATCCTTTATCGACTCTGATGATGCCAGCGGAGCATCCAGATCTTCGTCAGCGTTGCCGTTAAAGCCGTGCTGCGGACTGTTTGTTCGCGAATGGAACGGCGAGTTGGGATGCGATTCAGCTATCTCGCGCATTCCCGGCGAAACCAGTTCCAGCTCGTCGAGATTAATGTTCCCCAAGCCGTCAAGACTGCCCACAAAGTTTTGTACATTCTCTGTAAACGACATCGTCTCGATAATTTCCTTAAGGCTCTCAACGTAGCGCTGCATAGCCTGTTCCTTGTTCAGGTGGCGATTATCGTGCCAGGCATCCCATTTGGCTCTGCCGACCACGTCCCAGAAGCCGGGCTTTTTCTGGTCACACGCCCCCTCAGTGGCCTGCTTGAAGAGGCCATAGAACTTCAGCATCATGGAGGTGCTGGGCTGATAAGGTCCATTCTTGGGCAGTCCTTTGATCACGTTGACGGCGGCCTGGAAACGCTGTTCAATTGCTGCAGCCATGTCTGTAAGATTAGGAGGCGAACAAAAAAATCAAGCATCGATAAGATAGAGGGGGGGCCAAGTTCACATATTCGGTGCCGATAATCCCCAGCCCCAAGTGAACGTCTTGGATGGCGCTTACAAATTACCTAATTAATTTGTGCAATAACACTGATGCAAGCTGTTTTGGGCAGTGACAGTGCCTGTGTAGTTGGAGAACGCTATTGATTCCGACTGGCAGGTCATATATCCACGACGAATAAGATGAGGCTAATGAAGGTTTCCGTGCCAAAGTTCGAGTTCTGAAGTTCAGTTGCCGCTCTGCCCGTTTTCCTCGCCTTAAGCTTCTTCTGAAGCTTTTCCACTCGCCTTTGTTCTTATCAACCTCGGCGTATCGAGTCGCAAATAACTTGTGCGAAGAGCGCTCTTCGCACTGGTCAGGCCTTCAATTCAAGTTGCAATTAAAAAAAAAACTAAACAAAACCCAAAAACTCTCTCTCTAAATTGGTGAGCGTGAACGTGTACATGTGCGTGTTTTTGTTTGTGTTTGTGTGGGTGTAGCAGTGTTGTAATATTGATATTATTGATACGATATCGATATCTATGGTTGCAGTTGGAAATGAAAACAAAACAACTTGTTGGATTACATTTTATAAAAAACAAAAAATTGATAAAATAAAAAATATTTTATAAACTGATTATCAGTTAACGCCTTTAAGAATCTTGGCTACCTTACACTGTCTTTGTCATGATTTGGTATTTTATATATTTATCGATTGTTTTCCATCGCTAATTTGTAAATACTAATTAGCAAAGTTTGGTATTACTGTCACACTGCTAAATGGTCACTCACTTTTTCATTTCGTCAAAATCGGTAATCAAGGGCTTAATTATTTGCATTATTTTTAAAGAAACGCCCGCAGAGCTTTCCGAAAGCTGCTACCATTGAGTCAGACAAAGTGCCAGCGCTGGCGAAAACGTAACGCATTGTTAAATCTCTTTAAACGGTAAGGAGAACGACAATAATCAGTAATCGAACGGCGGCGAAGGCAATTTCACAAGACTTGCGAGTGGTGGAGTGTCTGCCAAAGAAGCGGAGAGTGACTTCATTGCAATTAAACATGAAATTAGCTGCAACGACAACCAGAGCACGAAATTTTTGTACTATAGCAGCCAAGCAGCAGGGAGAACATCAGCGTATAAATAAAATACACCCGCGTTCTTCGACGACCTTCATTCTGCGATCGGAGCTAAGCATTTCCAAGCACCAGAGACAATCGTGTAAAATTGCCAAAAATTGGAAACACCAAAGCTTTTGCATAGGTGCTTCCTGATTAAAAACGTTTCAAATCACGAATATAAATCAAATCAAATCGAATATTCAACAAATTCTAACCTAAATTCCAACGTCAAGTAATCAATAAATCGGAGCAAACACGTGCGTTTTTAGTTGCCGCCAAAGTGTAGACATTTTTACTGTCGTGTAGACATCTGCTGCCGTTGCCGCTGCCGTCAAAGGACACACTCGGCTACAGGGTTAGCATCGTTTTGCCACAGCGACAAAGCAGGCCAAACCAAAAGTAACCAAAACGTCGTCGTTGATAGCCTCAAACTTCAAAATTCGTGAACAACGCAAAAACCAATCCACCAAAGGCAACAACAACAAAAGCAACATCATGCCGCGACGCAACAAGAAATCAGGAACAGGCAAAGGTGAGTCACCCCCCCCCAAGTGCTAGACAAAGATAAAGATGCAGCGGAAGCAGGTATAATTTTAGCCAAAAAAATGTATATTGTAAGAAGAATAAAGAGCTGTTCCTTAGAACATCTGAATCTGCAGCCTTGAAATGTCTACAAAATGGGGTGAACCACCCAGAGAGAGAATCTTAAGAATGATATATTTTTCATACATATCTTGAAAAACGTGTTTAGGAAACTACGCAGTAAAGTTTTAAAAATATTCGAATCTATTAGCTATATAATATTTAATTGTTTAATAGCTTAATAAGAAAAATACTCAACAGCTGTTGTTTTTTTTTGTTGATATTTACATAATACAGCCTTGCACTCTATGGTTTATATTTCTTAAAGTATTTAATTTAGACTTTCAGAATTTCAGTGCCACTGAAGCAAAAGTTTACATTTTCTTTGGTTTATGACCTTTTCGAATTAGTCATGCATTGGGTATTGAATATTTCGCCAGTTTTGTGCATTGCGTTTGTTTAACAAACAAAGCTTTTTCTATCTGCAACCTGTTTGGCAATCGAAAAAATAATTATTTTCGTTTTGTTGCTGTGCTGTGATGTGTTGGCACTGAAAGCTTTCCTTTCCTCAGCGCTCAGCTGACAGTCTCACAACAACAACAACAAAATATTATCAGCAAACAGTACACTTTATATACAGATGTAATTGGATGTATGTATATAGTATGTATGTATATTCAATGACAGATTATCGGGAACAAACATTACAATTACCAAGAAATTAAGTAATACTTCTCCTTTTACATGCCTTCTTTTAAAAGCCAATAGTATAAATTAAGGTTATATAATTGCTGTAATAATTACTGATTATTTGGTTACTCACTTGCTTCTAATTATGCCTCATTTAGTTAGTTACTAGTTTGTTTATTTGCCAAGTAAAGTCACTTTAAGTAACAGCTGTTATTAAAAACTGTTAGGTGAAAACAGCTTTAGCCCCAAATAGAAACAGTGGAGAAACAGGAGGGGAAAAAAAACATCAAATTGCCGTAACGGGTTTTTCTTGGAAAAGAAACTTGTTGCACAATACTGGCTCCCAAACTGTAGCCTTGAAGGTCATTGCTGTGCCGTTGGCATGAAATTTATTTGATTTTTTTTTTTTTCTACAAAGTATATTTATATATATATATATATCACCTCTAAATGAGAGTACATATGTAGAGAGAGTGAGTAATAAATAGCTTTTTCTTATGTACACTCAAACATGTGCAAACATGCAATGATTCCATACAGTTTTAGAACCATAGGGTGATAAGAAAAAAGTATGATAGGTTGGAGAGCATTAATATTTTTGGAAAATTAATCAAAAATTATCCCTTCCAGGTCGCAACAACGACTCCAACTCTGACGACGAGTCCTTTGATAATGTCAGTGTATACTCTCATGTCTCGGAGATTGCCTCCTCGGAGGCCACCGACGAACTGGCCAATGAGCGTTTTGAGGAAAAGTTTGAAAAGGCTTTGGAGCAGGCCACCGAGAAGTCGGCCCAGACCCGTGTCCAGGCCCTGCAATCGATTTGCGAACTGCTGATGCATCGCTATATGCCGGACTTTGTGGAGGACCGAAAGATGACACTGATGGATTTCGTGGAGAAGAGCATACGTCGGGGCAAGGGACAGGAGCAGGTGTGGGGCGCTCGACTGGCACCCCTTCTGGTGCTGCAGATGGGCGGAGACGAGGGCATTTCCAAGGCCATGAATCAGTTCCTGCTGACCACCGTCCAGGACAAGTCGATGGGATATGACGCCCGGGCCAAGTGCTGCACAGCCCTGGGATTGCTCAATTTCCTGGGATGCGAGGATGTCGGTGAGCTGGTGCAGTTGATGCAGTGCTTCGAGGGCATTTTCGCCGGCAGCTATCTGCGCGGCGATGACAAGACTCCGGTCTCGGTTACTGCCGAGGCGGGCGCCTTGCACGCCGAGGCCTTGTCCGCCTGGGGATTGTTGCTCACTTTGATACCCTCTGGTGACTTTGTTTCCCTAATGACTACCGGACAGAACATGTTCCCGTGAGTATAAATCTCTAATACTGTCTTGGATATGGAAAATGATAGTATTATCATTTGAAAATGGAAATATCTTCTTTACTCGATAGTTCGATTAAAAAATTCTTGGGTCTTTTGCAATCCACCCACTTGGATGTTCGCATGGCCGCTGGCGAGACCATTGCTTTGATACTGGAATCGGGCCGTGCCCACGATGAGGACTTCCTCGAGGAAGACATACCCGAGCTGTGCGATGCCGTTAAACAACTTGCCACCGATTCGCACAAGTACCGGGCCAAGCGCGATCGCAAGGCCCAGCGTGCCACCTTCAGGGATGTGCTCCGCTACTTGGAGGTAAGTTTCGAAAAAAAAGAAGACCTAGATAGTTACGCTACCAAAATGTAATTCAAACCAAAAAGCACACGACTATTACATTCAAAGGAATCACTTCATTTCCGCACAAGTGAACTTGAGATCGTGCTTACAGTACTTGGCCAAGCACTTGGAATGATCGTGCAGCTTGTTGCGCATAATGACACAACCATTCCGGCTAATCGAATCCATATACTCGCTAAAGTTCGGCATCTTGCGGTATGTCGTTGGGGCGGCATTCCAGTGCGAGTTGCTGCCCGAGTCGACGAAGGAGGAGGAGTCAGCGAAGGTGGTCTTAAACGGCTTGTATGACTTCTCGCACTCGTCCCGGGACACGTCGTACCCGGTGGAGGACTCACGTTCCAATTCGTTCATGACATTGTCCCGGAACTCGGAGCATGGTCCGCGCTCGCTCATCAGTTTGTTCGAGTTCTGCTTGGAGGACTCATCCTCAGTCTTCAGACTCTCGTATATGCCCTCCGGGTACTCGTTCATGTTGCAGTAATCGATCTGATAGGTGGTGAACATTCGGTTCTTCTCCAGCCTCCGGCTCAGTTCATCCTTGGGCAGCACTTTCAACCGCTCGTACAGATCGGGGTAGACGGTGCGCAGGATTTTGAGGAAACGGTTCGGCTGGAGCTTGAAGCAGTCAGTTTCCGCCGAAAAGGCCATCTTCTCGACCTGGTCCTGGGTCAGTTGGGTGGGTATGAGCCGTGGATCGACTAGCTTTCCCATGGGCGCAATGCCCGTCCACTCCACACCGCTGCAGTCCTTTGAGGCAGCTGGCGGCATGTTGATCTTGGACTCATCAGCGCATTGGCATTCAATTACCTTGGGCCCGTCGTGACCCTCGAGACCTTTGGCACGTGTGAGGAACTCATACCGTTTGGCACTGGGTGGCACATAGTCATGCTGATAGGTTGACAGCATCATCTTGCCAAGAAGTTTTTTTTTTGTTTTTTAGTTTTTTTGGGTTGACCAAAAATGTATATTTACAACAAATTTTGTCTGCTTTTTATGAATCTGTGACTAAAATTGATAGTTCCACATGCTTCTGCTTGAAACCATTATTCCTTGCCTACCTTGATTCATTTATTAATTCATTGGTTTTTGATTCCAGGAGGATATTTCACCAGAAATCAACATTCGTTTCGGCCACGAGTCTCTCACCCTGGATGCCTGGTCCATTCACCATCAATACTCGGCCCTGTGCACGGTCATGGGCCCCGGAATGACCTCGCAGCTGCAGGAGAATGAATTTATTCGCGAGATCTTCCAGCTGGGGGCTCGTCTAACCAACACCGGCATTAATGGCAATGCCAAAGTCAAGCAGACCAAACTCGAACGTGTAAGTTGATTATATTTTTAATTTTTTATGAAAAATAATTGACATTTTAATTTATTTTCAATAGCATCTGGTGAATGCTGCCGCTTTCAAGGCCCGCTCTATTTCTCGTGGAAAGAATCGCGACAAGCGATCGGCCGTTGTCACTTAAAGCTCTCCAAATAGTCCCCACTCATCCGAGATTCATCCCAAGAATCTTTTCTTTATAGCTAACTCTGGACGTACTAGTTGAATTCTTTCTGATTTTAGCTTATACACGGCGCTGCGTAGCCAAAGTCTAAATTTAGAATAATTCCCAATGATTATGTAACAAAATTCGTCTAGTTGGTAACTACACGGAGAAGCCATCATTTAAATATTATTGAATATTTATCGTTTACACAATATTGTGTTTCATTAATTATAAGGCAGTCCACAGTGGGGCGACACTTATATTGTTGATGTTTTTTTTTTATATTACTATACGAGTAGGTATAATTAATAAATATACATATATGCCGCTTTAATGTTGCTAAATTAGTTGAATGGTAATCTACTAAAGTTAGTCATCGCTTAACTTGGCGTCTATAATGCATATTGTAATAAGCTATGTGTATGATACATATATATTTTGTAGCAAATACGTCTAAAATAAATAACTAGGCTTACAAGAAATTTTCAATGTCCGTTTTTTCTTAAAATGGGAATTTGTATTATGGGTCGATTGTAGATGATTGGTGGAGAATAGATTTAGAATTTTGGTTAAAATCGGCTGATTATAAGCCAAGATACAGCCATATACAGATACAGTTTCCCGACTTCAAGGCCGAGACCAATGAGTTGGATTTTTACGAATAGATGGGGGATAGCTGGGCTATCCTGTTTTCCCAGTAACTCCCGACTTGTTCAGACATACGAAAGCACTACTCTACGGGCTGTGCGATCTGGGTGGGGATCGGTGGTACACATGGCATCGCACTCTTCTAACGAGGAGAAGAGCCTTCCCGGCTTTGTTTATGCACTGCCCAACAAAATGGGGATAATATACATCCCCATACTCCTTAGAGCCAAGGCCAACCTACCTCATCCTCACCCTCATTTCGTACTCTAGTAGTGGGCCTTTGGGTTTAGGTACAAAAATTATTTATTTGGCGCATTTTTCTAACATTATTATTAAGATATTTAATTTTTGAAATGTGTTGGGCTATAGTTTCTGGGTTGTTGCTTTTCTCCAAGGGTCTCCAGCTCCTCATCCTGCATCCTCGGCCGGCAGTTGGTCTAAATATGCCTATGAATATGAAATTAGTCTTACATCCCGGGTCTGGTTGGGTTCGGTGCGGGTGCTTACCTTTCAAGTTTCCGTTTCTGCCATGGCCTGGTCCCGGTCCCTTGAATTGAATTGAATTTTCTATGCCAAGAGCTTGTGTCTTGCTTTCGGGTTGTGTCTGGGGGTTTCTAAGGTCTTGGTATTAAAAAAAAACCCATGAGTTTAATGCGTAATTAAATGTTTGTGTATACTTCTTGAATATTTCACTGTGAGATGGGCTGGCTGCAGGTATGAATGAAGTAATCCTGATTGATATTAAAAGCTATCGGCGTCGGATTAATTGATTTGGAATATTGAACTCCTTTTGTGTAAAATAGGAGCTTCCCATAGAGAGCCTTTTATGATTTGAATGTTGTCGAGTTTAAACCTGGAGTTTCCTTTCCAATCCACAGAAGAGCTATTTAAATATATTGAAATTTTTTCACGATTGATTTCCTTAAGCTTCTTCAAAGAACTTTTTAGTAAAGAAATGAAATCGGAATTAATATTCGGGCAACGCCATATCACATTCAAGACCCGTAGGCGTGGGCATCCAAGCACCAGTTCCAACAACTGCTTATTAGTAATGCCGTCCATATCCAGATGTAGGTATTCAAGAGATTTCAGCTTCATGAAGGCTTCCACATTGAAATCATCGTCTTCGCTGGCTACCCATAGTTCTCTAAGGGAAGTAATGTTACAGATATGCTCTATATGCTCCTTACACAAATACGAGTCAAATACAATAAGGCTCTCTAGAGGAGTGCCAGTCCTACGTACAAGTCCCTCGATCAAACCCGGCCTTTCAAGTCTTTGAAGTACCACTAGTAAGTGCTTCAGGCGGGGCAGATCACAAACCCTTTCGAGTTCCACATTATTGAGGAGTTCGTTACAGGTGAACTCAAGCGTTTCCAAGTTCCGGCAGTTCGCGACAATCGCGGAGAGGTTTTTGTTGGTCAGGTTGTTGGGCCACCTTCCAATTTTAAGAAAGTGCAGATTTTTCATCTTGATGCAGCAATCGGTCAGGTATGTGGCATCTAGACAGGAAAAGTCATCTATCTCTAAATGCTGTAGTTTCTCCAGCACGTGGAGTCCTTTCCCATTGTAGTCGGGAGCTACTAAGACTAGCTTTCTCAGGCACGGGAGATTCTCTGATAGATTTGAGAAGAACTTCTCGTAGACATCAGTGCTACCAAATTCTAAAGAGGCATCAAGAGTGTGTAAATTCTTCAATTGGATCAAGTCCTCCCAATGGGGTCGCCGTAAAGTCATGTTGAGGCGCCGCAGCATAGGGCAGTGCTTTCTTAGTAACCGCAACTGCTCCTCGGCTCTGGAAGAGGCATGCACATATGACTCATAGCTGATTAAATCCTCGTTGACTTGTTCCAATAGATATTCCAGATCAGATTCCTCGAGGTACAAGGTGATGTCGTTATTGATGTGTTTGTACTTCCATTGGGCGTAGTTCCGGTACATGCGTTGTATTTTGCGATTGGAACGCGAAAAATTCAACTGATCGTCTAAGCTCAGAAGTGAGAATATTCTTTTTAAGCAATCGTAGTTCAGGACTAAAATATTGGACGACGCTTTGGATGGAACTCTTTGGGAGCTTGAAGAGGGCGCAGCTGAATCTTCCGGATTATTTTCACTGATTGTGCGCTTTTTTGGACTCGAGGAAGAGCTACTTATAGGCGATTCGCTCATACTTATTCCGCTCGCTTGGACTCTACAGCTTGAGACTCGAAAGCCGACTAAAAGGCTATGGGAGACGGCATTATAATCGCATTTGGCCGAGTGGACATCTATATCGTAGATTACTGGAAACTATTAGAATCAGAGATGACAAATATGTGAGATTCTGGGTTTTGTACAGGGTGCGATTTTCGTTATCTTTATAAAGGTACATATGTATATTCAGTTATAAATCGGTCAGGAGAAATCAGCTGTGCTTAAGAGAAAGGTAGTACTCTTCTAATGCTCTCTTAAGCCAGCACAAGTTCTCCTTAAACAATAATAAAGTTTCATGGGCTTTACTTAGTTCAGTTGTTTGTTTTATTTTTATAATTAAATTTAAAAATACTACAATTTTGATTATAAACTAGTTTATTAATTAAAATTATTTTATTTTTTTTTCGTTTCAGGTACTACAAGTTTATATTTTCCACTCACTACACACACACATTTTTTAGAGAAGACATACTCAAGCAATAAAAGACTCCTAATAAACAGTTATAGAACTATTGATTAACTAACTAATTGAACAGATCAAAAATCAGCATTTAAGAGAAAAGTCTGTTAAGAGAAAAGAAATCAAAACAAAGAATTTGAGAATGAATTGAGAAGACTAGAGAAGACTTGTCCAACTGCAGAGCCTTAAAATCTTCAAAACTTTAAAACTGTAAAGCAAAAGCAAAATGTTGCAAGCGCCAAATGACAGACGAAAGCAAATCCAAACTGAATGCAATAATAGCAATAACAACAACAACAACAAATTTGACAAAAAATCTAAAAAATATTTTGTGTTTGGATATTGATGCAGATTAAAGGAGAATCTATTCACAAATCGTTAAAGGTATTCCGATCAAGAATCGGATAACATATTGTGGGACATATTGTGTCTTCATGCATTTTCCACGTTTTTAAAGAGGACCTCCTAGAATTTAACTAAGTTTTTAATAATTTTTTTTTTGGGTAATTTGACTTGCATTGGGCCTATCCTATTTTTTTTGCTTAATATTTTTCCATCCCTGTTTTAGTATCCCTCCTCCTCATCCCTGCAGGACTATTGTGAAAGGGTCTCACTAGCACCTCAGTTGACTATTATTTTTGCGGCACTTTGTAGTGAGCTATTTGGAGATCAGTTTCCCAACTTCGTGGCCGAGACCAAGGAGATGATTTTTAGGAATGGATAAGGGATAGCTGGGCTATCCTGTTCTCCCAGTAACTCCCGAGCTGCGAGGTAACGTAATTTAATGTTTGTTCATACTTCTTAAATAATTCACTGTGAGATGGGCTGGCTACAGGTATATATGAAGTAATCCTGACTGATATTAAAAGATATCGGAGTTGGAATAATTTTTATGGAATATTGAACTCTTTTTTTATTAAAATAGGAGATTTTAAATAGCCATTTATGATGTGTATGTTATCAATTTTAAAGCTGGAGCAGTTTTCTTTCCAATCCACACCAGAGTCTTCTAAATATATGGAAATTTTTTCATGATTGGTTTCCTTAAGCTTCTTCAATGAACTGTTTAGTAAAGAAATTAAATCGGAAGTAATATTCGGGCAATAAAACATATTCAAGACCCGTAGGCGTGGGCATCCAAGCAGCAGTTCCACCAAATGATTATTAGTAATGTATGGAATTTGCAGATGTAGGTATTCAAGAGATTTTAGCTTCATGAAGCCTTCCACACTGAAATCATCGTCTTCGCTGCCTACCCAGAGTTCTCTGAGGGAAGGAATATCACAGACATGCCCTACCTGCTCCTTACACAGATTCGATCCAAACAAAATAAGGCTCTCTAGAGGAGTGTCAGTCCTACGTACAAGCCCCTTGATGAAACCCGGCCTTCGACGCGGAAAGAAAATTATTAAGTGCTTCAGTCGGGGCAGCTCACAAACCCTTTCGTATGCCGCATTATCGAGATGTTTCTTGTCGGTGAACCCAAGCGTTTCCAAGTTCCGGCAGTGCGCGACAATCGTGGAGAAGTTTTCGTTGTTTAGGTTTCTGGTAAACGTTCCAATTTTAAGAAAGTTCAGGTTTTCCATCTTGAAGCAGCATTCGGTCAGGTATTTGGCATCTAATTCGGTTTTTTTATTTATCTCTAGATGCTGTAGTTTCTCCAGCACGTGGAGTCCTTTCCCATTGTAGCCGGGAGCTTTCAAGACTAGCTTTCTCATGCACGGTAGGTTCTCTGATAGATTAAAGAAGAACTTCTCGTAGACATCATTGCTACTAAACTGTAACAAGGCATGAAGAGTGTTTAAATTCTTCAATTGGTTCAAGTCCTCCCATCGGTCTCGCATGAAAGTCATCTTGAGGCGATGCAGCATAGGGCAGTGCATTCCTAGTAACCGCAAATGCTCCTCGTCTTTGGAGGAGGGATCCAGTGGTGACTCATAGCTAATTAAATGCTCGTTGACTTGTTCTACTAGATATTCCAGATCAGATTCCTCGAGGCTTTTGGTGATGTACTCAGGGATGTGTTTGTACTTCCAGTGGGCGTAGTTCGTGTAGATGCGTTCTATTTCGTGATTAGAACGCGAAAAATTCAACTGATCTTCTAAGCTCAGAAGTGAGAATATTCTTTCTAAGCAATCGTAGTTGAGGACTAAAATATTGGACGAGGCTTTGGATGGAACTCTTTGGGAGCTTGAAGAGAGCGCAGCTGAATCTTCCGGATTATTTTCACTGATTGTGCGCTTTTTTGGACTCGAGGAAGAGCTACTTATAGGCGATTCGCTCATACTTATTCCGCTCGCTTGGACTCTACAGCTTGAGACTCGAAAACCGACTGGCAGGCTATGGGGAGACAGCAATATGACCGACTTCCAGTTTTTAATTGTATGTATATTGGACAGCTGATATCGTAGATTTCTAGAACTAGAAAAGCTTTTAAAATCAGTGATGACAAATATGTGAGGTTGTGGGCTTTGTACAGGGTATGACTAGTTAACTTTCGATATCTTTATAATTTTACAAAAATAAAACTGTTACATGGGCTCTTCTTAGTTAAGTTTTTATACTCTCACAGAGGGTATTGTAATTTTGTCCAAAACGCAGTGGAGGAGACATCTCCGACCCTATAAAATATACATATATCTTCTTGATCAGGATTAGCATGTTAGGATTAGATGAGCATGTCCGTCTGGCATCGCACTCTTCTAATAAGGAGAAGAGCCTTCCCGGCTTTGTTTATGCACTGCCCAACAAAATGGGGATAATATCCATCCCCATACTCCTTAGAGCCAAGGCCAACCTACCTCATCCTCATCCTCATTTTATACTCTAGTAGTGGGCCTTTGGGTTTAGGTACAAAAATTATTTATTTGGCGCATTTTTCTAACATTATTTTTAAGATATTTAATTTTTGAAAAGTGTTGGGCTATAGTTTCTGGGTTGTTGCTTTTCTCCAAGGGTCTCCGGCTCCTCATCCTGCATCCTCGGCCGGCAGTTGGTCTAAATATGCATATGAATATGAAATTAGTCGAACATCCCGGGTCTGGTTGGGTTCGGTGCGGGTGCTTACCTTTCAAGTTTCCGTTTCTGCCATGGCCTGGTCCCGGTCCCGGTCCCTTGAATTGAATTGAATTTTCTATGCCAAGAGCTTGTGTCTTGCTTTTGGGTAGTGTCTGGGGGGTTTCTAAGGTCTTGGCATAAAAAAAACCCATGAGTTTAATGCGTAATTAAATGTTTGTTTATACTTTTTAAATATTTCATTGTGAGTTGGGCTGGCTGCAGGTATGAATGAACTAATCCTGATTGATTTTAAAAGCTATAATGTCTGAATAATTTTAATGGAATATGGAACTCCTTTTGCAATAAAATAGGATCTTCATGTAGAGAGCCTTTTATGATTTGAATGTTGTCGAGTTTAAAGCTGAAGTTTCCTTCCCAATCCACAGAAGAGTCATGTAAATATATTAAAATTTCGCCACGATTGGTTTCCTTAAGCTTCTTCGAAGAACGATTTAGTAAAGAAAGTAAATCGGAATTAATATTTGGGCAAAGATCTAACACATTCAAGACCCGTAGGCGTGGGCATCCGAGAAGCAGTTCCAACAAGTCCTTATTAGTAATGCCTTCCATACCCAGATGTAGGTGTTCAAGAAATTTTAGCTTCATGAAACCTTCCACACTGAAATCATCGTCTTCGCTGCCTACCCAGAGTTCCTTTAGGGAAGTAATATAACAGATCTGCTCTATCTGCTCCTTACACAGATTCGAATCCAACAGAATAAGGCTCTCTAGAGGTGTGCCAGTCTTACGTACAAGTCCCTTGATGATACCCGGTCTTCGAAGACGCGGACCGGCTATCATTATGTGCTTCAGGCGGGGGAGCTCACAAACCCTTTCGTATGCCTCATTATCGAGAAGTTCGTTGTCGATGAACGCAAGCGATTCCAAGTTCCGGCAGTTCGCGACAATCGCGGGGAAGGTTTTGTTGCTCATGTTTTCGGCCACCAATCCAATTTTAAGAAATTTCAGATTTTTCATCTTCTTGCAGCAATCGATCAGGTATTTGTCATTTATTTGGGAAAAGTCATCTATCTCTAGATGCTGTAGTTTCTCTAGAACGTGGAGTCCTTTCCCATTGTAGCGGGGAGCTTCCAAGACTAGTTTCCTGAGGCACGGGAGACTCTTTGATAGATTTAAGAAGAACTTCTCGTAGACATCATTGCTACTAAACTCGAAAAAGGCATGAAGAGTGTTTAAATTCTTCAATTGGTTCAAGTCCTCCCATCGGTCTTGCGTGAAAGCCATCGTGAGGCGCCGCAGCATAGGGCAGTGCTTTCCTAGTAACCGCAACAGCTTCTCGGGTATGAAGGAGGAATACCGATATGACTCAAAGCTGATTAAATGCTCGTTGACTTGTTCCACTAGATATTCCAGATCAGATTCCTTAAGGCTGTCGGGGATGTCTTTAGTGATGTGTTTGTACTTCCGTTGTGCGTAGTTCCTGAACATGCATTCTATTTCGTGATTGGAACGTGAAAAATTCAACTGATCTTTTAAGCTCAGAAGTGAGAATATTCTTTCTAAGCAATCGTTGTTCAGGACTAAAATATTGGATGAAACACTTTGGGAGCTTGAAGAGGGCGCAGCTGAATCTTCCGCATTATTTTTACTGATTTTGCGTTTTTTTATAATCGAGGAAGAGCTATTTTTAGACGATTCGCTCATACTTATTCCGCTCGCTTACACTCGACAGCTTGACCCTCGATAACCGACTGACTGAATATGCCGAGACAGCAATATGACCGTTTCCTGTACACTTTGTGAAATAAAAGTGGGTACTTCCCCTTATCGTAGATTACTCGAACTAGAATAGCTTTTAAAATCAGTGATCACAAATATGTATGGTGAGGTTGTGGGTTTGGAAACAGAATTTGACATGTTGACTTTTGTTATCTTTTTAATTTTACAAAAATAAAAAAGTTACACTTGCCATAAAAACTATGCGCACATGTTCGCTCACTTTGCTTATACTATACATACATACATACATAAAAAATTCCATTTTTTTCTAAAAAGTGGTAAATTTTATTAACTTCTTAGTTCCTAGCTCTTAAACTAAAAATAATATAGAAAAAAAATTTTTCTCATTTTCAGTCAGAAAAAAAAATTTGTACAGAACTTAAAATATCGAAAAAAAAATCTTCTTTTTACACCCTTGCAGAGGGTCTTATAAATTTGGTCAAAAGTGTGCAACGAATCTGTTGGTGAGGGAATCGAGTTCCTGCACTGAGCAAATCGTAGAGGTTGCGGGAGCGAAAGAAAATTAACAGGAAAAACGCAACAAGTTGGGAAAATATTTTTCCTTTTCATTCAATAATTTTTAAGTTTATTTTTCGTTTTTTGCAGTGTATACACTGAATGTAGATAGCAACTTACGCTGATTTGTTAATCTAAGACGAAAATTCTACATTTTCGGGGACTATCTGTGTAAAAAGCGGAAGCAGATTTGGATCCCCGGGGGCTAAGGCAACGCCGGACAGAGAAATTTCCAACCTTGTGTGATAACCTTGTGTGTTTTGGGCATTAAAAATTATTCTTAAATAATTCACTGTGGTGGCTATAGGTATGAATGAAGTAATCCTGATTGATATTAAAAGCTATCGGAGCCGTAATAATTATTATAGAATATTGCGCTCCTTTTCTTTTAAAATAGGAGATTTTAAATGGCCATTTATGATGTGTATGTTCTCAATTTTAAAGCTGAAGTTTTCTTCCCAATCCACAGGAGAGTATCTTAAATATATTGAAATTTTTTCACGATTGGTTTCCTTAAGCTTCTTCAAAGAACTATTAAGTGAAGAAATGAAATCGGAAGTAATATTCCAACAATATAACACATTCAAGACCCGTAGGCGTGGGCATCCAAGAAGCAGTTCCAACAACTGATTATTAGTAATGCCTTCCTTATCCAGATGTAGGTATTCAAGAAATTTTAACTTCATGAAGCCTTTCACATTGAAATCATAGTCTTTGCTGCCTACCCATAGTTCTCTAAGGGAAGTAATGTTACAGATATGCTCTATATGCTCCTTACACAAATACGAGTCAAATAGAATAAGGCTCTCTAGAGGAGTGCCAGTCCTACGTACAAGTCCCTCGATCAAACCCGGCCTTTCAAGTCTTTGAAGGTTCACTATTAAGTGCTTCAGGCAGGGCAGCTCACAAACCCTTTCGAGTTCCACATTATTGATGAGTTTGTTGCCGGTGAACTCAAGCGTTTCCAAGTTCCGGCAGTTCGCGACAATCGCGGATAAGTTTTCGTTGGTCAGGTATGGGTTCCACATTCCCATTTTAAGAAAGTGCAGATTTTTCATCTTGATGAAGCAATCGGTCAGGTATTTGGCATCTAATTCGGAAAAGTCATCTATCTCTAGATGCTCTAGGTTCTCCAGCACGTGGAGTCCTTTCCCATTGTTGTCGGGAGCTTCCAAGACTAGCTTCCTCAGACACGGTAGGTTCTCTGATAGATTAAAGAAGAACTTCTCATAGTCATTAGTGCTACTAAACTCTAAAAAGGCATCAAGAGTGTTTAAATTCTTCAATTGGATCAAGTCCTCCCAATGGGGTCGACTGAAAGTCATCTTGAGGCGCCGCAGCATAGGGCAGTGCATTCTTAGTAACCGCAACTCCTCCTCGGCTCGGGAAGAGGCATACACATATGACTCATAGCTGATTAAATCCTCGTTGACTTGTTCCACTAGATATTCCAGATCAGATTCCTCGAGGGTGTGGTAGATGTATTTAGTGATGTGTTTGTACTTCCTCTGGGCGTAGTTCCTGTACATCCGTTCTATTTTGCGATTGGAACGCGAAAAACTCAACTGATCTTGTAAGCTCAGAAGTGAGAATATTCCTTCTAAGCAATCGTAGCTAAGGACTAAAATGTTGGACGAGGCTTTGGATGGAACTTGAAAGGAAAGGCCGCTTTGGAAGGGCGCAGCTGAATCTTCCGCATTATTTTCACTGATTTTGTTATTTTTTGCACTCGAGGAAGAGCTATTTATAGGCGATTCGCTCATACTTATTCCGCTCGCTTGGACTCGACAGGTGGAAAATGGAAAATCGACTGACTGACGGCATTATACTCGCATTTGGTATACTTTGTGCAATAAAAGTGGGTACTTCCCCTTTTTTATTTGTATATTGCCTAGTGGACATCTATATACAAAAATTTTGGAAAACCTTTTTAACTTTAACAATTTTCAAAATTTTCTAATGAAATTGGTCTCGTTTTTTTATCAGGATTAATGAGACAATATTGATATGTATCAAAAATGGTACCATTTCTTGGAGATGCACCGAAAAAATGACGTCAAATTCTGAAAAACCCGACAAAAATTCATAAATGTCATTTTCTTGTGTAAAATTTTTATCCTTTTTGTTTTAATTAATAAAAGATCTATTAATTACATATTTTTTTCAAAAGCTACAAAATACAATCCACAAATCGTTTAAGGTATTCCGCTCAAGAATCAGATTACTATTGGCAAAGATATAGCCATCGCTGTGGCCCATATTGTGCCTCCATGCACTTTCCGCATTTTTGAAGGGGATCCTCCAGGAAATTTGACAAAAAATCTTAAAAATAATTTGTTTCTAGATTTTGATGCAGATTTAAAGAGAATCGATCCACAAATCGTTTAAGGTATTCCGCTCAAGAATCGGATGACTATTGGCAAAGATATAGCCATCGCTGTGGCCCATATTGTGCCTCCATGCGCTTTCCCCATTTTTGAAGGGGATCCTCCAGGAAATTTGACAAACAATCTAAAAAATAATTTGCTTCTAGATTTTGATGCAGATTAAAAGAAAATCGATCTACAAATCGTTTAAGGTATTCCGCTCAAGAATCGGATGACTATTGGCAAAGATATAGCCATCGCTGTGGCCATATTGTGCCTCCATGCGCTTTCCCCATTTTTGAAGGGGATCCTCCAGGAAATTTGACAAAAAATCTTAAAAATAATTTGTTTCTAGATTTTGATGCAGATTTAAAGAGAATCGATCCACAACCCGTTTAAGGTATTACGCTCAAGAATCGGATAATAATTTGCCAAGATATAGCCTTCGCTGTGGGCCACATGTCGTTCGGGCCCCAATCTAGAGAGTCTCTAAACAAATCCTGTGAACAGACATTAACCAATTACTCGGTTTATATGTAAATTGATAGAAAAGTCCATTTACCGGAAAAGAAGCTTATATGTTGAATTCTATAAATTATATAGTTATATTTAAGTTGTTGGATTTATCACAAAAATTGTTATGGTTACTTATTTTATGTTTGTTTGGGTTCTCTCATCTTTTGCAGTTTGCTTTGCTTTGCTTTGACAAATCTTGTATCTTGTGTACCTACTACAATAAAATGTATATATATTGATATATATGCTTGTATATATATGGGAGAAAATAGTTTATAAATTAACATCTTAAACGGGAAACTTATTCCGATAGAATACAAAGTAAAACCTAGTTGCTTAACTTAATATTCGCCAAGTATTTCCATTTATACTTTTATACGGAAAATGAAATTTAGGAAATCAAAATGCTCTCGTAAATTAGTTTTAAATAAAAGAAAACTAAAAACTAGACAATATGGAGGCTGACTCACTGGCTTATCGAAGCATCAAATATGTTGTTTCTTCACTTTTCAGGCTACTTGGCAACGCGTTTATAATCTCAAGATGTTTTTTGTTTATTTTTTTATTTGTTTTGCAATTGATACTGACCTATGCTTAAACTACATAATATTTGGCTTTTCTTTTAATACGATTCGCTTTCGGAAACTTGAATGATTTGAGAAACAAAATTGACTCGCTAATCGAAACTGTTTTCGCTACTATCTCTGCTACTCAGTAACTGGTTAAACCTATGTACACAATTGAGGATGGGGATGGGTGGTAGCACCCGTCCCCATGTGTGATGCATAAACTAATAATTGAGCATTGAGCAAATAGTGTGCTGAACGCATTCTAAACTAAGTAAGTTGCAATGTCTGAAATTTCAGCTGATGTGTGTGTGTGTCTGTTAACGACTCCCTCGATTAAAGGACTCGGCATCTACGTGGCCACTCCCGTCCGAGCTGCTGCCGCCGAGGTACTTGCGCTGACCTCCTCGCAAATGGTGTGTAGTTTTTCCATCTCAGAGCTTGTCACAATGTTGATCGAGCTTACTTTGGCCCGTTGATACGCCACCACAGTGTTCTCGCCCAAGCACTTGACACAAACATAGCCAATGAGAACAGCAATTCCGACGGTCATGACGCGCACCAGTGGATCCACATACATCTGTATAACGACCCAGGCAGTGGCTCCGGTTATGCACATCAGAGTGATCAGAATGACCGTCTTGGACCAGTGCTGGATAGTGAAGCCCTTGTCCCATTCGAGTCTGGAAAGAAAACCAAAATTGTTAATGATTTTTCCTTGATAATAAAGGTATAAAGATTATAAGTTTTTGGCTATTCTTATCGCAGTGATTCGGACTATTTTGTTTAAGAAACTAGTAATGATTAATTGATAAAATGTTCAGTCTAGGTCATAAAACCAAAAACTGCCAAGTCTAGTCAAGATTAGGTGCCATAGAGTACACTCTGTGCTTTGTTTTAACTTACTTTTTCGACTTCTCGATCTCATAGGGATGTCCACACACCTTACAAGCCAACAGAGCCTCCGTATTGCTGCAACTCTCCACGAGCCATCGCTTGAGGCACTCGTGATGAACGGAGCTAACGTCCCCGGTGCATCGACAGGGCTGGATTAGTGGCTCCGGCTTATCGGAGTCGTAACAAATCCAGCAATCCTTTTTGGTTAAAAACGACTGACCCTCCTCGGGCGAGAGCTTATTGGTCTCGGCATTCAATGTCGGTATCGATGGGTCGATTTGGCGGGACAAGAGTTTCCGGGGATTCAGGATCCATAGCTGTTCGGGAGCCATTGAATTCCAGAGGCAGCAGGGAAACCAAAGTGCAACTCCGATCTCGGCAATGCGGAAAATGATGTCATGCCAGTTGCGAGAATGAACTGGAACCCTTAAAAAAAATGAGAAATCAATTGGTTGATCGGCAGCTGTTGCCAAATTAAAAGCTTCCACTTACTTTGCTTTCCAGAAGTCGCCCAAAGTCTCCGATGTGAGAAAGCCCACAATCACTATGAGCATCACGGCCTGACTAAGTAGTCCGAATCGCGACTGGTGCAGCTGGGACGCATTAACGATCGCCTCGCTGGGACCCAGGATTTTTCCCGTCTGATCGTAGACGAAGCCGCCGCGCAGCTTGAAGAACACCTCCACGCCGTAGATGAGGAAGAAGACGACCACGATCAGTAGTAATACTGCATAACAGCCGTTGAATATGTGGGCATAGTCCCGTCGCTCCGCATTGATTAGCGAATTGAAGACCTCTATGCCAAACAGGCTGTACAGGAAGAAGTTGAAGGCAATGAAACCGAGGAAGCTCTTCGACAGGAACTGCGACTTCTCCCAGCGGATGTCGCGCAGGTGAAAGATCTGGAACGGCGAATGGAAAAAGCCCGAATGAATTATTGTAGCTGGCAAGGTAGGACTCCCCCACAGAATCGGCCTATGCCCTGGTGTACGTCTCCCTCGAAACTAATTAATGGTGTCCCAAGATACGTCGGCGAAAACAATTGATTCTGCTGGCAAGTACAAGTGCACTTGACACCTTATCGCGTATATGTATGGGCTAGATACGAAATGGCAAGTACAAGTGAACTCTAAACAATTCGGGAACACAATAACGCTGTTTAGCGATGATGATGATGTTGTTCTCGGGTTCCCACATTTCTCATTGTGTTATCAGGAACGACGTCAGGCTATTTGAACGCCATTTTGGAGTTGATTATTTTTATTATAGTTAGTGGTGCGTTCGTGACTAAATATTGGCTAGGTTCAGCATATCATAGCGGGCCAATTTTAAATAGAAATAAGCATGGCTGGCCAGTAATCTATCTAGGGATATTATTTCTTTATCTAACCTAGAATGACATGTCAGTTTATTTATAAACTAAAGTCCGTTTTGTTTCAGACTAAATGATGAAATATTTATTAATTTTTGGCCTATCTGCCTACCCATCTTTTGGCAAACACTATCTTGGCTAGAACTAGAAACATTTACCCTTTAAAAAGTTGGCAGGAAGCCTAGGAAATTATTCCCCCAAACCTGAGCAGTTTGTTTTCACAAAAGATGTTTATGAAACAACCTATAAGATATTTTTGCACCCTGGACTCTGCCTCCTCTTCCCAGTGAATCTTATCCAATTATATATTCCATAGTTTCTCCTCACCTCGGCCCACATGCAGACAATTAGAGAAGCACATGTCATGAGCAATGGATAGTAAGCGGACATCAAAGTCACGGCCCATTGTGGCTGCAGATCCAACTGAAATATAAAAGATACATTTTAAGATACAATTTTCAATATTTAAAAAAAAAAAAAGACCACTCACTGGTGTTGTAAAGTAAGCTCCGCGTAATGAAGCCGCCACAAAGACCATGAAATAGAGGAGCTTCTGGGTGGTGATCCGACAGGCACGAAGGATCGATGGCTGCTTGAGGCGTTGATACTCGGCCACAATGCAGATGAGCAGCTGGATGACCGAGACGAGAGCCACCACATAGAAGACCGTGGATATGCCAATGTAATAGGGAAAGTTGAAGATGTCGCACTCGTTGCCCGCATATCGAATATCGCAGACGCACGTGTTGTTGATGCAGTCCCCTCGTCCCGAGCAGCTGAGATCGTTGTCCGGCGTAAAGGGTCCATAGATGCCACCGGATGCCGCCTTGCTGTGACCATTCCGCATCTGATTGGCGGCCGCTTCAAGCGGCGATTGCAGAACTCGCTTCGAGCAACGCATTAAGGTATCGAGGCTGGGAAGCATTCTATATTAAATCAGCTGCAAATGGAGATTGAAAGATAGGTTATAAATTATGATACATAATAATATAAGGTATAAAACAGGGCTTGAACTCAGTTAAAAGTGGAATTAAATTCTAAAAAAA